CTAATATCTACCTCTATAGCTAATGACTGATTTATAATACACCCTATCAGTAATTCCCAGCTCTTTAAGCTTCAGGATCAAGATAATCTTATACCAGGTTTTATTTATTTATATTATAATGTTCCTCCTATTTGTGTTACATTTCTCACCTCTACAGCATAAGAACCTATGTACAGTCTGTATTCGTGGATTATGTCCACAAAAAACCCCACATCTGTAGGTTAGCAGTTGTGTTAGTCTCTTCAGGCTGCTATAACAAAATACCACAGACTGGGGGCTTATAAACAACAGAAGTTTATTTCTTACAGCTCTGGAGGCTGGGAAGGCCAAGATCAAGAAGCTGGCAGATTTGGTGTCTGAGGAGGGCCCGCTTCTTGGTTCTTAGATGGCCATCTTGTTGCTATGTCCCCACATGGCAGAAGGAGCAAGAGAGCTCTCTGAGGCCTCTTTTATAAGGGCACTAATCCCATTCATAAGGGCTCCACCCTCATGACCTAATCAACTCCCAAAGGCCCCACATCCTCATACAATCACCTTATGGGTTAGGATTTCAACACATGAATTTGGGGGAGACACAAACGTCCAGTCCTTGGCAGTGGTCAAGCATACCTTTTGTTCCATGCTGCAAAGATGTGCATGGATGTCCATTTCAGTCTTGTTTCTAATATAGACAAATTGAAATCATCTTAAATATCCATTAATAATGATTAGATAAATTGAGTGGCTTGCCATATGCAGTCATAACAAAAAAGATGGGTCCCCGTGTACTGATGGGGAGATATTCATGTTATATTGGGAGGGAAAAAACAAGTACAAAGTAATACGCACAGGTCCTCAATAACTTGTGAGATGCTTGGGTGGAATTCAGAATCTTTCACATTTTAGGAACACTATGCAAGACTTTCTCTCCATGTCATGGCAGATGAGATAACTGAGCCTCACACTGTCAACAGGGACAGTGATGAACAAAATATTTAACGCATTCGCTTAAAGACACTGGAGAGCCTAAACGTGGTGAGGAATTACTGGACCAGGATCCAGGAAGGACTGAGCCCAGGTTGGGAGCCACTTTTTCCCTGAGTGCATTTTCAGGTTCCAAAGGAGAAAGTTGAGAGGCTGAGCCATGTTTCTGACAGCCAGTTCTGAGTTAGTTGGTTTGGAGACACATTTGATAAGATTCCTCGTGAGTCCTGCAGATGGAGCAGCAGTTGCCCACAGAGCTGACCAACTCAGTGACATGCTTGTGTTGGTTTTTCTTTCTTCCCGTTTCACACCCACCCCCACCCCCGTTCCTCACACTTGTTCCTGGAATCACATTTCTAAGTAAGTTACCTGCATGCAAGCCTTTATATCTGGCTCTGCTTTCAGGGCAGTCGAGACTAAGGCAGGAAGTGAGAAAATAGAATGTGAGAAGTCCCAGCATATGAGAAGTTTGGGGTCCTCAAAAAAGAAGAGAGGACAGGCAAAAGCTTGAGAGAATGATTGAGATATTTCCAAAACTGGTTAAGATGGACATGAAGCCACAGATCCTATAAGCCCTGCAGGGTCCAAGCAGAATAAATAAAAACAAGTCAACAAAAAAATAATACTGTAAAAACCAAAAATAACTGGTATTCACAGGCCCAGAAATGATATATTTACTTTAATTCTCTTATGCAGCAGAATTCCCAAATGATGAAAGAAAAACTTATATAACTCAGATTAGAGGTCACGAAAACTCAAATTGGCATCACCATCTCTCTTCCCCGCCAAAAATCACTGTCTCGAGGAAGGCTTCCTCTTGGCCTGGATTTAGGCTGCTGCTTACCCCTAGCCAAGATACCAATTCACAGAGCTACTCAGAGGTCAACAGCAAGGTGCCTTAAATAAATAATAAAAATAAAGCAAAATACAGTGCTGTTGATATTCCTCAAAAGTCTCTCAGGAAGGGGCCACGCCTTTGGTTTGAGCATGGGAGTCAAGGGTGCAGGCTCTGAAGTCAGACAGGCTCCATCCAAACTCCCACTCTGCCACTTTTCCCACCTCTTCTGCAAAGTGGAGCATCTGCCTTGGAAGGCGACGTGAGGATGAAATGGGGTGCTGGGATCAAGAACCTGCTTAGAGCCTCCCTGCACACAGCGCTCAGCAGTGTAAGTTCCTGTCGTCATTCCAATGTTGGGTATCATGAGGGCAGTTGACGCAGCGGTGCACGTCAGCTCTGCGAGGACTAAAGGCTGTTAATTCCACAGCCAAATCTCCACTCTTCAGTCAGGCCAAGGGAATGGGGTGAGAGTTCATACTACCTTTTCTTCACCATAACTCAGTGCCGCGGGTGACCCAAGAATGAGCGTGTGCCTGAAGCATCTCATCTTAACTTTTAGTTAAATATTGTGCAGTCAAATCATGAACGTTAGCCATGATTTCTTTTTTCTATTTAATAGGACATATGTCCCTTTGGGGATTAATCATGTGGAAAAGCTGAATTTTCACTTTGAGTACAACTTTTATCAACTTTATGTGGGAATTAATTCTTAAAAGGTACTGCATACTGCTTCTTTCTAAATCTGAATATAATTTGCCTTCAGGACTTATCGTTATTAGGAATGTAATATATCACACTGGCCTGGAGATGTACTTAATGTTCAGATGAGCCATCTCTGAATCCCGGTCTTATCCCTTTTCCATGTATTTCCATACCATCAGATGTCTCATCTCTGCTTTCACTATAGCTGTCTGCTCTTCTCTCTGCTTCTCAGTGCCACTGACTTGGGTCTTTGTCAGGACATTTCAATTATGGCTGAAAACCCAAAGCAGGAAGTGAAGGCCGTGGTAGGGTGGGCCGGGGCTCTGTGTGTCTCCTTGGGGCTCCATTTCTCACGTGCTGCTCTCCTCTCAGTCAGGCCCTGCACACGGCAGCCAGGAGGCTGCTGTCGCTCACATCCACATCCTCACATATCCAGTGGTGAGTGGGCAATGGCCCCTTTTCCAAAGGTGTCTTCGTGTCTGTTTCTTGGTGGCCCTGACAGTATCACGTGGCCAGGCCTGGACCTGTTATGTTATTTAGGCCAGGGACTGTGATGCTGGGAATGACCATCCAAAGCCCCTACTAGATGGTCCCCAACAGAAATCAGGGTGGCTTTACCAGCAGAGGGATGGGCAGGACAACCTGACTTGTTGAAAGTCTGTCTGTAACCCTCTCATGATGCCCTGCCCTGGGGAAGGATGTGTGGCAACACACTGTTCCAGGAAGAGAGCAATCCTGCCGTGACTTCCCACAGCATCCAGAGGTGCAAAAATGTGTCTTTTCCCAATGAGTTCCCTTTCCATGCATTCAGAATCTACCTCAGGCTTGCCCCTGGGAGCCCTCCCCAACCTCCCTCCCCCTCCTCCCTGGGGCACAAGAACAGACACTGTCCCTGGGAACAGCCATTCTCGGCGCCTGCTTTGGAGGCAGCATTGGTCTAGGCTTTGGTAGGAGCTGACTTGGGCCTTTCAGATCCCACCTCTCATGGCACCAGTTCAATATGCTCTCCTAAAGTCTGCTTCTCCATTCAGTGGAGACAGAAAGCCTCATCCACCTACTAGAGTAAGGATAACCTAGGTTATGGGATGTCTCGCACAGGTGAAGCTTGGATGGGCAGACACTCACGGATGTAGTCTGTGATACTGATTTTGGCTGCTTAGAGATCTTTTTTGCTTCCTTGTTCTCATCTGTGTTGTAGGCTAGCACTCACCGCCAGAACTATGTTCGATGATGGGAACGTTCTTACCCGTGCTGTCCAGTCTGGTAGCTGTTGGCCACGCGTAGCTACTGAGCATTTGCACTGTGGCTACTGTGACTGAACTGTGTATTTTGTTTTATTTTATTGTATTCTATTTTTTTTTTTACTTATTTCTAAATAGCCACATGTGAGTAGTGTATTGGACAGCACAACAATCTAGAGGCAGGTAAATTTACCAAATAATAGTCTAAGATAGGTGACTTCTTATTGTATATTTCCTCCCTGTAAGACAATGGATTTTTTTTTAAGTGTTCTATTCTGAGTGAATAGGCCCCTTCCAGTTTTCTCCTTAGGATTATATTCAGCAACAAAGAATGGCATTATTTGATCAAAAACATCCCCACACACAGAAGAGAATGAACAAAATAAAGCTTTATTTGAACTTCCCTGCAGATTATTCTGAGGCTCTGGTCACTGTCCGAGTTTATATCTAAGTCATTTCATAAATAGTGCCATAACTACAGTCCTCCAGGTCCAGCACAGACGTGACAGGTCCAGGTGCATGGTTCTCTGTTACTCAGTGCTGTAACAGATGATCACTCAGTGTATCTGCGTGCTTCAGCAGGGCCACCCCGTTGGGTGTCATGGGCGTACTCACCTACTCGCTGAGAGGCCAGCACAGCTACCGTCCACAGTAGGTGTTCAGTACCCCAGCCACCCCTTGAACACCTACACAGCTGCAAGGCACCATATACTGTAGCATAAAGATAAAGACAATCTTTCTCTGTCCTCAAGGACCCAGCTCAGCAGGCTACCTTCACCTGTGCTCCATGCCATCCATCCTTGTATACTTGTCTAATAAATAAGCACTTTGTAACCTAATGATCACATCATCTTGCTAATGTTCAGAGTACTTAAGGCACCTTAAAAAGAGAGAGAGAGACTTGATTCAGAGCTCCAAGTCTCAGTGGTTCTTACCACCCCAACCACAGAATGAAGGACAGGCAGAGTTTAAAGGGACCCAGTTCTAGCCAAATTAGTGCTCTAACAAGTCACCTGAGTTTTCATTGGCTTCCCTGAACGACTCCACATGTTTGGAGCATGTTGACCTCTTACCAAGAGGCATCCAAGGTGGGGAGGGGAGTCTTTCCAGATCACAGCTTGAGAAACAGAGCACACAACTGGAGTAGCATGAGAACTAAGAGGTGGGCAGATTCATGCCATCACTTTTAGGAGTTAGTTTCAATATACACAAACCAAGGCAAAGAGAAATGTACACCAAAAAAGGATGCTGCAGGCTTGAAAGTTCTCAAGATAGCTGTGTTTAGACAGAGGTACAAATATTTCCAATTCAGACTTCCAAATATGCCAAACAATAATTAAAAGTGCAACTTCTGATCCTCTCCACATCTCCCCATGAGCAGAGGCAAAAAAGGTGATTTTCATATTTCTAAATGTTAAAAAGAATGTGTACAAGTAAAGCCACTCATTACTTGTGTGTGTGTACGTTATTATTCAAAAATATAAAAGTATAAAAATAAAACCTCTGCCTTTTGTATCTAGAAACATTTGGGAAAACATGGTTGCCTCTAATTCTCAGTCATCTGAGCAGGCTCACTTTACCAGGTGTTTCTTCTTCCTGTATTGTCTGGAGAGGACACAGAAACGGCTGACAATGACTTTTCATTCGACGAAACCAAGTTCAGGACAGTGGAACAAATACTAACCATGTCTGATGGTACCTCTTCATGGGTTCTCCAACAGAAGGAAGGAAGGAATTTTAGCACAGACTTCACCTTAGGGACAGTGTGGATTACGTGCTGGGGGAGGACTGCTTCTGGGATGTCTAGGAATAAGCCAGCTTAAGAGCTCTGTTCTAGGACAGTTGGGGCTTGGGCACTGGGGCTTGGTCAAAGAGCCCATCAATGAGCAGCAGCCCTCTTGTCTTTGTACTTCTGGTAGGCACTCAGTATTTCTCTGATGACACTGGGGTCCTCCAGGGTGGTGATGTCCCCCAGATCCTGAGCACCGCCTGTGATTATCTTCTTCAGAAGCCGCCGCATTACTTTTCCAGACCGAGTTTTTGGAAGACGTTTTACTACCTGGCAAGGAAAGGGTACAGCAGTAGAGTCTGGGGTGGCCCAGACTCCCAGCCAGCGTCAGACTGCATTGAGATAAGAAGGGCTCTGCCCTGGGATGACCCCCTCCCTGGGGAATCAATAATGAATGTCCCATATAGGATCCCGCCCCAGAGAATGGTGGGGGCCCAGGGTCTCTAGTTTTATCCTCCTACAATTTGGACCTAAAGCTCTTACCAAACTGAAAGAATCAACCATGGGTCATGCTGAAGCCCTCCACCAGGCAGGGTCTACCCATACGTGGGTTTCCCTCCCTGCTGATCCATCTGTTTCTCTCCTCAGCTATAGTAGTGAGGGCTCCCAGGCAGCAACAAAACCAAGCACAGGCCCTGGCACCTCATCTCCACACCGTGGCCTGGGCCATAGTTAGTTTTGTCTCACATAAGAGGTGAGAGCTACTTAACAAGAAAAAGGTTGTCTTGCTTAGTGTTTGAAAATTTAGCATTTAACCTTTTCAAACAACCACAGCCCATTCAGTGGCAATGGAAATACATTGAGCTGTGTTTGGGGTCTTTAATAGTGACCTAAGGGGAGTTCAGGTCTCCCTGAAACTCTGGTCATCAGGCCGACAGTCTGACTTTGTATGACAAGAGGTGAAGGTGGGGCCCCTCCTGCCTCTGAGGACTATCTCCAAACCAAAGAACACTATGAGGGAAATGTTAACAAAGAAAGGAGTAAAGAGCTAACTAACAGGGCTAAAAAGGTGGCCCAATTCTTCCCCAGAACTGACTGCAACACAGACTCCCTCAGATAGGGGTCTGGCGGTATCTCCCTCACCGGCACCAGGAAATGTGTTCAGAAGCCACATGGGCTGGAGAACTCTGGGACTTCCCACATGTTTCTCTATTTAAAATCTCTACTTTTCTTCCTGTCCTGTAACTAGCCTCCATGTACCAAAGAGAGCATCTCATCTTGCCCAACACTATCCCCTAAACAGGTGAGTTGTGTAAACTGCTGCTGTCACTCTGCCCCACTCCCTGTCTCTCTGAGGATGCAGCAACCCACGATCCTCACCTACCACCCAGAAAACCAAACAGCTAATGTCAGTCTTGCTGTTTATGGAAGGGATCACAGTTACTTGTTAATTGTGGGAATCGAAAAAGGAGGCTAAAAACAAGCAGGACAGTCGCACCTGAGGTGGAAGTTCCACTCACCAGGATCTCATCAGGCACGGCATACTTGGCAATCTTGGTAGCCACTGCTAACCGGAGCTCATTCACTACCACGTCAGAGTCACCTGCATTGTCTCTCAACACGATGAAGGCAAATGCGGCTGGAAGGAAAGCCAAGGTTTGGGACATGTCAGACTCCAAACTACCTTCTGAGGCAGAGTGCTGTACACAAATCACTCTAAATCCAAATGGTGCCCTTGTTGGGCACCAGATGTTGGTGCCCTTGTACCAGCTGGTTTCTTTAGTGGCAGCCCTAAAGATGCATTATCGTTTTCATCAAACCGGAAGCGATTCTAACAGCTCCTCTGAATATCCCAGGTGGGCGAGCATGTGTGGTCAAGAGCTTGGCACTGCACCTATGGTCTTGACCAGCTGTGCATGTGACCTTGGACGTGGGACTTAACCTCTCTAACTGTCCCCGAACCTGTGAAATAGCCCAGAATGTGGGCTGATGGGAGACTTACTAAGAGCTCCCATGAGACAGTGCATGGGGACATGGCACGTGGCACTAACCTTGTGGGCACGTGTCCAACATGGTAAGCACTGGCCACAGTGGCCATTTAAATTTAAGTTGAGTTAAAAATGCCATTCCTCAGTTGCATGAGCCACGTGTAGCTAGTGGCTGCTGTACTGGAGGGCAGAGAAGGACAGTTCTATCACAGCAGGGGCTCTGAGGGCAGTGCTGGCTGACCCCTGTTTTAGCACAGACACTGTGTTTTGTTTGTTGATATCCTACCATGTTCCAGAAAGGATTTACAGGCTTGCTGGCTGTTAATTTACAGACCTGGCTCCCACAGGTCTCTAAATACATTTCTTTTTCATCCACCTGGGATAATCTCGTTATGTGGTGTGACATAGGGATCTGATTTCATTTTCTTCTCCATATGAGCAGTCACTTGTCCCAGCACCATTTTGGACAGTCTGTCCCTTCCCCACTGACCTGCAGTGTCCTCCCTCACACATGAAGTTTCCATCTCTACAGCCCTCCTGTTGTTCACTAGCCTGTTTGTTCCTGCGTCAGTTCCACCCCATCTAATTCTCCCCTGGCACATATCACCTAACACGCTGGTAGTGTCCTCACTGATCATGTTATGGTTGATTGACTGTCTCTCCCCTCTGCTTCCTGACCCTCCAGCATGTCAGCTCTACGGAGCAGGGACTTTTGTCTGTTTCACTCACTGCTATGTCCCCAGCATCCAGAACTGTGCCTGGAACAGAGTAGGTGCTCAACAAGTGCTGCCTAACTGCATCAGTAGATGCCTGTTTCCTGAATAAGCTACAGTCTGTAAAGACCTAGAGCCTTTGCCTGAAGGCCCCCCCATTTCTACCTGGCAAACTCCTATTCATCCCTCAAGTCCCAGTTCAACTGCCTTACACTCTGTGTTCAGCTACCTTTTCTGACTCTGTCCATGAATTGAGCTGTGGCACTTGCTGTGTGTAAATGGTTGTTGGTCCCCCCTAGTGGAGTGCCCACTCCACTAGGTTGTGAGATCTTTGAGGGAAAGAGCTGCATTTTTTCATCTTAGGAGTTGAGATGCCAGGCAGTCTAGGTCCATACACAGAGGCTCAGAGGAAGGGGGCAAAGCCAACACCTGAGCTGGCTGGGAAGGCCAACCGAGAGGTCTGCCGTGGGTCTAACCAAATTTAATTAAAGTGTAAAAACCACCAAAGCAACACATATTACCAAAAGTTAAAACACTGTAGAAGTATATAAAATAAAACTGCACCTCCCCTCCCTGCCTCTCTCCTTTCATCCCTCCCCTGAGAGGCAGTGTGGTATAATGGTTAGGAGGGACTGCTCTGGCTCCAAATCCTGGCTCTGCCACTTGCTAGCTGTGTGACCTTGGGCAAGCCACTTAACCACTCTGTGCTGAAGTTTTCTGCTTGTAAGCTGGGGAGCTGACAGTACCTGCCTCACGGCTGCATGTCAGGATTGAATGGCGACAGCGCCTGCACGGGGCCCACACTGAGCAGGTTCTCAGGGCTGCTGGCTGCTATCCCCAGACCCAAATTTTAAACTTAATTTCTAGGCATATACAACCACCTTTTAAACCCTACTGGGGTCACAATGGACATGCTGCCCTGCCGTGTTTCCCCCTCATCTCTAATTGGTGCCCTTCCCTGCCAGTCACTTGTATCTCTAATGAGATGAGACTGGAAGTGGGCCTGGATTGTTGAGTTCTGAGAGCAGAGATGCGTCAGGAAAGCCTCGACATGGGAGGAGGAGCCGGCTGAGAACCAGGAGGAGGTGCACAAGGCTGAGCTCAGGGACTGCTGAGACAGGCCAATGGCAGAGGCACAGCACATCGGTCAAATCAAGTGCAAACAAACAGAGTGGGGACAAATAAATACACGACAGCCTTTGCAGAGGGCTTCAGAGCTCACCAAGAACTGTTAATGGGTTGCTCTTGTATTAAAATGGATAGATGCTCAAGTTTGTTAGAAATCAGGAAAATGCATATCATCATACCCATGATATACAAATTCTCCCCCACCAGCCTGGCAGACATTAAGACCTGGCAATACTAGAGTTGCTTAGGATGCAGGGAAGAGGTGCTAAGAGCTGCTGATGTGAGCATGAAGTGGCCCAAGGCCTCTAAGAGTCCCACGTGAGGACCTGTTCCCATCTCTGGCCCCTTCCAATCTCTAACAGCTCTCCCACACATCCCAGTCTCCCGTTAACAAATGGACAACCCCCTCATGGGCACATCCTTCTCATGGCAACTGAAAATGCTTTTTTTAAAGCACTTAAATGTTAAATTTTACAGTGGGTCAATTTAGAGAAAATGAGTAAATAATGGAACACAAATAATGCCACACAAATGTGGCAGGAAGCCAAGTGACATTTGGGACACACTTTGACACAGGATGTCCCTGACAGCAGGAAGGAGAGCATGCAATCCCAGGCCATTCGGCTGGGCGTTAGAGGTCAGTCTGCCCAGCAGTGCAGCATAGGGTCAGCGAGTGTCTGGGTCACACCAGCCAGGCCAGTGTGGCCACTGTGCACCTGGCATTATAACACTCAGGTGATCCTGCCCCTTCCCGGACCCACCCGCTTAGAAACCAGCAGGCTTTGGAACAGTATGTCCTCAGTAAAGACTATTCTGCTCACTCATTCTGCGTTCCCCTGGCGTGTCGCTGTGCCGTGGGAACCACAGGTCAAATTCCTCCAAAAAGAGTCCCAGAGCAGCAAAAGAGCTGCTCCAGGGCATACTCCAATCTGCTGGCAGTGTGACGGCCGCAGAGTTGGCACCAGGTGCTGTGACCGAACACGTGCAAGGAGACACTGAGAGCAGGGCAGGGCATTTCATTATAGGTCCTCTGTAACAGGGCCACCAGAGGCACCTCAAGCTCAGCTGGGGGCCAAACAGGTCACGGCTGCTTGGGGATGAGTGTCCTTAAAGGACAGCAGAGCTAGGGCATTTCAGAAATCTGGCCCTAGTCTAACGTGTGCTGTTCAGCCTTCCCGCCCAAAACCTCCACTGGAAAGAGAAGAAAACCAACAGCTTGACCCGTAGAAACACCCTACCACCTGTCCATCCTCTGGAGTCTGTTATTTTTACAGAGGTGCCTTGAAGGGTGTAAGACCAGGAATTGGAGGAGTTCCTTATGTGGAGGCTCACCTTCTCCTTTGATGTCGTGGGGGTAGCCAATGACAGCGGTCTCTGGCACTGCGGGGTGGTTAGCCTGTGCATAACACAACGACAAGGCAAAATACGTGGGAGGTGAGACACCTGAGTCAGCATGCAAATTACCACTCCAATCTGAGGCCAGTACAGCCTTGTGGAGGCACAGGAGCAAAGGAGAAGGCCTAGCCTGTGCTCACCATCGCATCCTCGATCTCCGCGGTGCCCAGCCGGTGGCCACTGATGTTGATGACATCGTCCATCCGCCCTGTGATCTGGTAATAGCCGCCCTCGGTTCGGTGAGCCCCATCTCCAGTAAAGTAGTAGCCTGCACCACAGCAAGGGAATTCAGCACCAGTACCTTTGAACTAGGAGCCAGCAGGGCTCCCATTGTTCCATGAGAGATGCAACAGGACCCACGTCCTGACCTCACTCTACAGAAGAGAGCTCTGAAGCCCGTGCCCTGCTGATTTCCTGCCTGCTGGCCCTCCTTGCCACCCCTCTAGTTGGTGCTGTCTGGCTGTGTGCTAGTGAAAGGGCAGATGGCTTGGAGACAGCAGAATATGAGGACTCAAGACTGCATATGTCTGGGGAGCAGAAGATATACAAGGGACATGCTTGAGCTTCCCAAAAAGTGAGTCTCATTTACAAGCTTGAGATGATTGGTTCCAGCAGGCACACTGTAAATGAATTTACAACCCAATGACACAAAAGCAAACTGGGGGAAAAATCAGAAGTAAACCAGAAGAAAACTCGCAGCCATGACGACAGTCCTCCAAGGTGGTTTCCTCCCTCTTCTTTCCTAATAGCCTGAGGAGTGCACACCCCGGCAGGCCAGGTGCTAAGGGCTGTGCGAGCACTCCCACTGACCCCAGGGAGCTCCCTGAGGTGGGACTGTTCCCATTGCAGAGACAAGGAAAGTCACAGAGGTAAAGGGGAGGGGGCAGGAGTCAAACTCATCCTCCAAAGAGCCTATTCTCACGCGAGGCTGCCCTACACTCACGATCACCATGACCTCAGACGTTTCTCTGAGGCCGTTATTCCAGCAGGGTGCAAAAAGGCGTGACCTGATACCACTGCAGCTGGCTCACCTGGATAAGCCTTGAAGTAGGTGTCCAGGAATCTCTGGTGGTCTCCGTAGATGGTCCTGGCCATGCCCGGCCAGGCCTGGGAGAGGCACAGAGCCCCTGAGACATCGCCGCCCTCCACGACGTTCCCCTGCAGACCCGGGAGACGTGTGAGATGTGTGAGAGAACGGGCAGACCGAGAATCGAAAACTGGCAGTCAGCATCTTCTCCTAACTGCTTGGCCAGAGGCAGAAAAATGACGAGCGTGCCCCAAAAGGAACTGCCCAGAGCTTTCTCCTCTGCAAGGAACCCGCCCCCCGAGGGCTTCTGAGGAGGACCCTGAGCTCGCCCACATGGCAGTTTTATCCACTGTGTCTCTGAGAGGAGACTGCACAGTGACTGCTGCGTGAGGACGCCTGCCCTTCCACCCCTCCAGACCCTGGGCACGCACGACATGGGAGGGGGCAGAGGAGGCCAGGAGAGTGGAAAGGAGCACAGTAGCTCGGAAGGGCACACGCGGAGGAGGGAGATGCCTCTGCGAGGCCCTCACTCACCTGCTCATCCATGAGAACCGGGATGATGCCAAAAAAGGGCCTCATTGCCATGCCGGGGAGGATTTCTGCTCCTTCTTCTGAGGGCCGTGGCGCTATGCAGATGCCACCCGTTTCTGCAGGAAGGGGAAGAAACGCCAGGTGGGCCTAGGGACTAGTGACACATTTATCCAGACCATGCTGTCAGCAGGGCCGTGATGGACACACAGGTGCTCTCCCAGAGTGGGAGGTGGGTGGAACTGCCCCTGTGTGGGGCAAGGAAACAGGCAGGGACATAAGGACCTTTGTCTGAGGCAAAACCAGACTTGGGTTCTGGTCCCCTCCACTGTGGAAATGAGGGTGGGGCCTGAGGTGGGGGGTTCAGTCCCAGGAGCTGCAGTGCTCCCCAGCAGGGTGGCTGCTGGCTTCCCCTCATCCAAGGTCCCTGCCTGTCGAGCCTTCCTTCGGTGGAAAAGGGCAGAGCCCACCTACTTGCACAGGAAGATGGAAGAAAAGAATTGCTTCTGGGCCAGTACCCATTCCCCACAGACCAAACACTTCCCTCTATCAGCCTGCATGGAAATGCCTCATAAGACTCAGCTGTCGAGGATCTCTGTCCCGTGCCTTCCCGAATGGATGACAACTGAGCTATACGGAATGTCTCACTTTCTGGCTTCTTGAAGGATGAGACCTCAGAGAGCTACATTTACTACATCAGTGGTGGTCTCTTGCCCCAAACATCCAGTCAGAAACCCAAGAGAAGAGGGGGCAAATCAAAAGAAAATGGCACAAAAAAAATTCCTTTCCCACTAAAATTTAAATAAGACTCATGGTCTCCTAAACAGCAGACTCCATGCTCATCCAATGTGCCTGTGTTCACAAAGCAGCCCTACAAGGAAGGTGGACATTTAGCTCAGCACCAACTACACATCAGGCCTGGGGCAAGATGCATTAGTTGCATCATCTCATTCCATCCTCAGCCAGGGCCTGTAAGTGAGCACTCCCTTTTTACAAACAAGGAAACCGGGGCTCAGAGCAGTCATGACACATCCCAAGTCTTACACCTCTGAGCTTTCTCGCTCCAGACACTAGGTTTTCAGCAATCACATACGCTGAGGGGCAGTTGGATTGCATAGCCTCACACTTGATCCTCTGGAGTGGGCGCTTAGCTGCACCGTCTCAGTTCACTAACATGAGAGCACAGCTGTCACATGAGGTCCCACGGAGCCAGCCCCGCAGCCGCTTCTCCAGGCGTGCCCTGACCCCTCCTCCTCAGGGACGCTCTCACCTGTCTGCCACCAGGTGTCCACCAGCGTACATCTGCTGTCCCCCACCACATTGTGGAGCCACTCCCAGGCCTCGAGGTTGATTGGCTCTCCCACTGAAACCACACACGAGAGAAAAAAGATATTTCTAAACCTCAATAAACTGGAAACCAAAAGGAATAGATTTTTAAGGGGAAAACAGCTCTATAATTTTCCCGAAGGACATAAAAGAAGCCTTGAAAAAGCCATGAGATCCGTGGTGTTATGGCCATCAAAGAAATACAAATTACTATGAGGTACTTTCATCATTAGAGGATCAAAAATGAAAAAGTTGACAAGAATGTGGAGGAAACAGAATCTCACATACACAGTGGGAGCATAATTTGGTACAGAAATTTTGGGGAGCAATTTGGATGTCTTAATATTTAAAAGTGTATATACCCGATACAACTACTTTAGACAACTGTTTGGGATGGACTCGAAAGATATGTTTATCCTATTACTCAAAAATGTTACTCCTGGCGTATATCCCACAGAAATAAGTGCATGTTTCCACCAAAAGTAGACATGAACAAAGATGTTCACAGCAGCCAAAAACTAAAACTGTCTATCAAGAGTAGAATGGAGAAATAAATGGCAGTTCCTTCATGCAGTGGAATACCATACAGCATGAAAATGAGCAAACCGCTGCCACAGCCAATAGAGATGCACCTTAGAGTCACGGCCCAGCATGGGCAGAAGGCATGAGAGAGGCACATGCCGTACAAGCCCATGTATATGAAGTTCAGGAACAAGAAGATGAATCCATGGTGAGAGCAGTCAAACAGTGGTCAAGGTTATGGGTTACTGACGGGGAGTGGGTATAGGAGCCTTCTGGGGACTGGGAATTTCCATGGCTTGATCTGGGTGGTGGTTATATATTTGTATATACATATACACAGAAGTGCTTATGGCCTCTGACTCTGTAGCCTGACTTCTTCTCAGTGTCTACATGCTATGATCTGAATGTTTGTCTCTCCCCCAAATTCATATGTTGAAATCCTAACCCTCAAAGATGATGGTATTAGGAGGTGGGACCTCTGAGAGACAATTAGGTCATGAGAGTGGAGCCCTCAGGAATGGGATTAGTGTTCTTATAAAAGAGATCACAAAGGCTCTCTCGCCCCTTCCACCATGTGAGGACACAGTAAGAAGGCCCTATCTGTGAACCAAGAGGAGGCCCTCACCAGAACTCAACCATGCTGGCGCCTTGATCTTGGACTTCCCAGCCTCTACAGCTGTGAGAAATAAGTTCCAGTTGTTTATAAGCCACCCAGTCTGTGGTGTTGTGTTATAGCAGCCAGAACGGCTAAGACACTACCCTAATGAAACACCCATTCAGCCAGAATGCACCAGTTGAGATATACTTTTGCTAAAATGGTGTAATACTGGTTGCCTCTTGCTCAGGACCACCTACAATGCAGCAGCTAACCAAGGCCTGTCCTGGTAGGGCAGCTGGGTGTTGTGTGTCTCGCCCCTGCATTCACATACACCCCCAAGGAGGCAAAAAGATGCCACTGCAGCACTGGTTGATAGGCTGGGAAACTGCCAACAGCCCTAATATCCAACCACAGGGATGTGACTGCATGGACCACAGCAATCCCCACAGGAGGGTATGAGCAAGTTTTCAAACAACCGGGCAGAACCATGTGGAGAACTTTGCATACTGTTAAGTTAAAATCCACATTACAGGGGCTGGCCCGGTGGCGTAGTGGTTAAGTTCTCTACTTTGGCAGCCCGGGGTTCGCAGGTTCGGATCCTGGCAGTGGATCTACGCACTGCTTATCAAGCCGTGCTGTGGCAGGCATCCCACATATAAACTAGAGGAAGCTGGGCACAGGTGTTAGCCCAGGGCCAGTCTTCCTCAGCAAAAAGAGGAGGATTGGCAACAGATGTTAGCTCAGGGCTAATCTTCCTCACCAAAAGTAAATAAATAAACAGTACAGGATAATAGCACAGTGTGATGATGTTCATGTTAAAGAAATCGTCTCAGAACCAAGCTGTGTCTTTTGCACAGGAATTTAACTGCAAAGAAGACACCGGAAGGTGCACAAGCAACAGGGCCCCCTGGAGCACTGCTCACAGAGGACATCAGCTTTCATTTCCACGTTCCAATTTTTTCTTTTCACAACAAGAATATGTCTATGTGTTACTTGTGAAATGGAAAGTTTTTAAAATTTTTTTTTAAGAAATACAACTCGGGGTAAAACTCTTGAGTAAGCTAGATTCTTCTGACTGAGAAAATTAAATGAAGTCAACATGCCCAAAGCCTGGTGTGCTGTGAGGGCTAATCCAGCTGCCTCGAATGGGCCTGAGCTGTGGCACCGAAAGAGGAGACCAGCACCTTGCTGACTCTGGCCGAGGCATGAAGCACCCTGGGCCACAGCGCTGCTCTGTGCCCCAGCTGAGGAGTCGCCAGGTGCTTTTAACCTGCGTGTCAGCACTGTTTATCAATAATCTGGTCTCAGGGAAACCCATGCAGGGCTCTGCTGTTGGTGCTGATTACACGGCAGGAATATGCCCACAAGACCAGCAAAATACACAGAGCCCAGCTGAGCCTCTGTGTGGGCTCCCTGGTGCAGAGGTGTTCCATGCACATGGTGGTGGTGCCTGACCCAAGAGAGAAAGTGTATGTGGCCACAGCCCTTAGGAGCGAGGACCACAGGAGCCTGCACCGGGCCTCGGGGGACCCCTGGCTGAGAACTTTCAGCTGGGGCATGCACCCCACTCTAATGCAGCCACAGAGCACCTCCTTCTGACGTGCTCAGAGCGTGTGCCTTGTCATTTGGGTCTTCGTGAGTCTTCCTTAGTGACCGAATCCTGTGAGTGCACCTGGAAAATCAGACCTCACCTTTCACCCCTGTCCCTACCTCACTCCCTAGGCCCACTCAAGTGGCTTGCAGATGATACCTGCAGGATCTGAGCAAGTTTCTGTGGCCCTGGCCACCCCTCCACTTTTCTCAATCCCCAAGCGCTGCCTGGCCCAGAGGGCAGGGGCACATCACGGGTCCCCTGTGCTGTGGAGGGCAGGTCCTCTCCAACTACATGGGCTCCCAGTCAGGAACACACAGGCCTCACCCTCCAAGCTCCAACATGCCAAGAGAGGCATCTTAGACTCACCACCATCTAGAAAGGAGCCCAACACTCTTTCTGCTGACCCCACCTGGAAAATTCTCAGCCATCCAGACACAAACTAACCTAAACCACAAGGCAGGCCCTGAGTAGGGAGGAGCTGGGAGCAGGAAAATGTGTCTTTCCGGCAGGGGCCCAGGCCTGTCCTGGATAGGGAGGCAGCACTGTCCTCCAGAAGCCAGAGTCTCTGTTTGGAGCCCTCAGGACAGCATCTGGGCCTCCTGCTCCTGGGTCAGATGCTCAGCTTCACAATGAGCAGTCAACCCTCACCTGACCCTCTGCCTTTCCCTGTGTGTGGGCACAGGGGTACCGAGGACAGCTGTGACTGGGAGCTGCCCACCCAGCAAGATGGTCAGCACGAGAACAGATATCTGTGACTGGAGCACAGGCTCGTCGGAGAGCCCGAGGCCAGAGCAACCAAGGAAATCCACAGGGAGGAGAGGCACAGAGAAGGCCCTGAGGGACAGTCGGAATCCTGAGAGGCAGGGAGGCGGCAGCAGGGCACTGCAGGCAAGGGGAGCAGAGCGAACCAGGCTCTAGGACCTGTACCAGCGCTGCATGCCCACATCACCAAGGAACGCACGCACACTGTCACCGACCTCCCTTTTCCCTGGACGTGTTTGGCAGAAAGACACATCCCCAGTGCTACCTGCCCCACATGCTTCCTCCGTGAAAAAACACCAAGCAGAACCATGTATTCACCCAAGGAGCCTCCCCACCCTGTTCTCCCTACTGACCACACATGACAACACGTGTAGGGGCAGAAATTAAACACAGCAGGGGAAAGGAGAGAGAACAGGCCTGGGTACCTTCCACCTCCTGGTACTGTCTGAACTAACCCCACGTTACCCTATCATCATGTGACTTGGTGGCAGCTATCAAAATTACAAATGGAGATAACCTTTGATCTTGCGTCTTTCTGGTGGAAATGTCTACAGTAAGGGCAGCACACAAGGGCAGAATGACATTTATGACAGTACTTGGGCATATCGACACCCAGCCACAGGGGAGTGCACAGTGAACTACAACTGACTACTGCAGCGCAATCCTGGGCAGCCACTAAGGAATAGGGCTCCTTAAGGAGTTGGTAAGGACTCATAATAAAGACGAAGCACAGAACTCAGGCACAGAAAATGTCTGGAATATTGTGCCCCAGACGGTTAACACTGTGGGCTCTGGGGAGGGCCTTACAGGAGGGACCTCTGCTTTCTACTCAATGCATCTGGCATTGTTGGAATCACGAGAGACAGAGTTTTCATGATTAAAACTTTCTGAAGCCTGCATTGCTCTGACATGGCATGCACACCCTCTCCTGTGGCAGAGCAGGCTGCTCACCTGACCCCAGGGTCCGCAGGGAGGAGCGGTCGTACTTCCGCACCCAGGCATCGCCGTACTTCAGCAACAGCCGGACAGCCGTTGGGGCACCGTAGAACTGATTGATCTTTAACCTCTGTACTGTCTCCCAATACCGACCTATAAAAAGGCCCAAATTCCCTGTCAGTCTGAGAGCTCACCAGACATTATCTATTTTAAACCTATTTAGAGAGCAGTCAGCAGATGCTCTGTGCTGGATACATGCAAACAACTGCATGTGTTCATAAACCAGGATTCAACTTCCATCACTGAAAGGGGCAGGAGCCCTCTGGGACAGGATTCCCTGTGGCAGTCATCTCCCAGCACACCCCATCTGTGGCTGGCCCATTTGGAAACAGCCTTCACCTGGCTCCAGACGGCTGCATCCACATGGTGTATCCCACATGATATAGCGAGAAATCAGTTCAAAGGGCTAGTACTGTGATCTTAAAAATAACCTGTGTGGCCTTAACATAGAACTTTTATTCAGTCACACTTAAATGGTCTCTAAAGTGGTGACTGGACAGCGGCGGCCACCACTGCATGACCCCAGGGAGCAGGGCAACTGCCTAGCACACACCTGATTTCCCATAAACCCCACAACTCACCACCATCCCTTCTACACATGGGAAGCTGAGCTCTGAGTGGCTGAAGTGACGTGCCTAAGATCACACCTAAGACATGGCTCTTAATCCCCTAGCTATGCCTCCTATACATTCTTCCTAGGGTGCAGTCCTCTCGGGAGGCTGGAGAGGAGCAAGGCGAGGTGACAAGCTCCATGGTCATAACTGGCAGCGCTGTGGGATGCTTGGGCAAGAGCCTTCTGGCAGAGCCACCACTATTCAATTACATTAAAACAAATACTTGGGGACACTGTGCTGCATGGGAGGAAGATGCCAAGGTGAGCAAGACATGGCCACGTCCTTGAAGCGATCTCAATTCATGGAGATGGCTCCAGGCCACACACGTTTTCTGACAGAATGGCCCTGAAAGCACAGGTGGCAGGGCCAAGGAAAGCCCCCTCCATCTGGGGAGACCTGGGGAGGCTGGCAGCTGGCCTGGGCTTTGAGGAAGGGCTGGATCTGGTCAGGTGGCCAGGGAAGTGAGAGGGACAGTGCTGAGGAGACAGCCGAAGGCAGGCAGCTACATTAGAGAGACGGAAACACTGGAGTGGGTGGTTCTGAGATGGCTTCCAGCACCAAATTGGACCCCCTTCTATTGCGCACCTGGCTTCAGCCCACTTGGCAGGGTGCAAGACCCAGCAGCTATGCCACGGGACCACAAGAACCACAGCCAGGTCAGAGCACAGGCCTCCACTCTACCCTCCTATGAACCTTCGTCCTTCCTCACGCTCCCTCCTGGGGACCCTGTTTGGGTCCCCAGTCCTCACCAGCATCAGGGTAAACCGGGGTGCTCTCAAAAAGGACGCTGGTCGCTCCATTGCAGAGGGGCCCGTACACTACGTAGCTGTGTCCTGTGATCCAGCCGATGTCGGCCACACAGCCAAAGATGTCGCCTGGCCGGTAATCAAACACAAGCTGCAGAAACAGGAGGAGAGGCCATCAGGAGCCTGTTGCCCCACGTTCCCACGTGTCACTAAGAGTGATCTATAATTGCGAGACGCAGACGCTCAATCGCCACTGAGAGCAGGATGAGTAAGTGCACCGCGGTGGCTTCCTGCAACCTCAGCAGTGAAAACATGAGTTACAGATACACGCAACAACAGGCTGACTCTCGCAGTCGAGAGTGTATATGGCATGAGCCCCAACCAGACAAAGCCGATTTGTGTGCCAGGGGCTTCGCTAGTGCCAGCCTGCTGGGGGACTGCCTGTGAGGGGCACACCAGGGCCTTCAGAAGCTGGAAATACCCCATATCCTGATATGGTTGGTGGCCACACAAGTACCCACAGGTGAAACTTCATCTAGTTGTATGTTTAAAATATGAGCATATTTCTGCATTATGCCACAATTTTTAAAATCTCTTAAAAACTACAAAAAATAAAAGCTAGAAAGACCAAGAAATGCCTCAAGCAAGATCAGCTTCTAAGAATCTGAGAGGAGGCTTCTTTCCTGCGTTCTTGCCAAAGGGTCCAACCTGAGCTTGACCCCTTCTCTGGATCCAACTGCCCCTTTGCAGGAAACACAGAGGACAGAGGGGCAGACAGCTGGGCGCTACAAAACACAAAGTTTAAGGAAATGGAGGGGATGGGGGGAAGCCTATAGGTTAAAAAAAGGGCTTAAAAGACCCCCTTTTAACATATCCAAAAAATGTCAGTAGACAAGAGTAAACTACGGTATCCAAGGATACACGTTTGGGTGACAGAAAAAGGAAAACACAAGGCAGTGAGGCTCTAAAAGCCAGGAGTGGGGGTGGGGCTGTGGTTGGAGGGGCCATGGAGGGGCTTCTGTGAGGCTGGCAACATTCCATTTCCTAACTGAAGTAGGGTTTTCCTTATAATAACTCATTAAGCCACACATTTGATTTGGGTGGTTTTCTGTATCTGTGTTCTATTTTGCAATAAACAGATTTTTAAAAAATTCTTTGGATGAGTGGCCCCAATCTTCTGCTGCCAGACACAAGCACAGAGATTCTCCAGGAGTTGCCAGATGGCACAGTGGTGGTCTCTAGATGGCCATGTCCCCAAGGTAGAGAGAGGATTCTTTCAAGGAAGACGGCACTTTCCCTGCACTGGTAAGGCAGGACACCCACATCCCAAAGCCCCACAGCATTCAGAAACAGAAAGAATTTTTAATACAACTCGGACCCAGATTGCCAGGTCTTTCCCGGGGCTGGCGATTTCTCTCCCTGCAGTTCTTGGATGGAGAGCAGGTGCCTGGGGCCAGCCGTTCTCCACAGGGCCCAGCAGGCAGCTGGCGTCCTAACCCCGCTGCCCACCTCCAAAATCTGCTTACACTCCATCATCCCTGAAGAAGCCAACAGCCCTCATACCCTCTGTATGTGCGCATATGCATGTGTTCACAGAGACGTGTGCACACACACACACTTTTATCTACAGAAGACCGAAAGTTTCTATTCCTAAGGCTTAAAAAAACTCAGTGTACTGAAGAGAAATTCAAAGGTGGTCCCCATCCTAGATCCCCACTTCTTTTGCTCATATGGACAGTGTCCTTGTAACCCTCTGAAAACCTACAAAAATGAAGAATCTTGCCACATCTACTGATTCCCTAATGTTAATTTTATCATAAATTGATGGAAACAATTTGATCCATTCTGTGACTTTCTTTGTATTTGGTCTCAGTGATTACATTTTCCAGAGAGGAAGGGTGGGGTTTTCCGGATGACAACACTGAGGTCTAGAAAGGCTCTTTGACATGCTCAAGGTCACCCAGCGGCCAAAGGACAACTGTTTTAATATAGATTTGTGTTCAGCGTAATACCTCGTCTGCTCAGCCTGGTTCTGTAGCCCATCCATCTTTCTGCCTCACTTTCAACTTCCTTAGTGCTGGGCATGAGTGGCCACCAGTGGGACCGGCGCATGCCTGCTGTTTCTGCCTCCCAGCACCCGCTCCTCATCCATGCTCATTCCAAGAGGTTCACCTCCCGTGTGACCCAGCCTGGCATATCAGCACATTCCACCCTCACCCCTGGCCACAGTGACTGGGTCAGAATAGGGCCACAGACCCCAACCACGCCAATGATTTTGCTGGGATTGTTGAGGCTCTTTCCAGCCCCTGGGGCAGCCAAACTGAGGAATCAAAGCCTGGTAGGGATCCTGGTTGGCACAGAGGAAGGGGGCTGAGGCGGAGAAGATACACCACCCAAGAGAGTGTCTGAGCCACGCTTCGATGGGCCTGGGCTTTCCCAGCACCCGGCCAGTCAGTTCCCTTTGCTGCTGGCACCAGCTGGAGCTGAGTTTTGCCTTCTGCAACAAAGAGGGCCTGGGCCACAGACGGTATCTCAAAACCCAATCCCATTCCCCAAGTGGAAAGTGTCCACCACTCCCCAAGGCGACTAGGGATGCCACCTTAAACTGCAATCCCCCCAACCACATTTAAATGAGTTCTGATTTTTAAATGCATTTACTGGAATAAAAAATGTGCTATATCATTTGCTTTATAATCCCTAAAGGGTGGTCCACTATAATGCAATTTCCATGTGCTAAATTTGAGTTTCCTTATAAAAGTAGATCTTTTATAATTTTTAAAAATTTTACTTTTAAAATTTGTCCCCAGTGAGCAGGACCTAGAGGCCACAATACTTTTAGGGGCCCACAAAAATGTTTTACTTTCTTTTAAAATCAGAAAAACAAGATCTTTAAAAGGAAGAAAGCATTTTAATATATAATAGCGATATTTTCATCTTTATACCAACGCAGTTGTAAAATATAATTTCTGACATTTTTTAATGGAGGAAGGGGCCCAGGAAGGCCAAAGCGCCTGGGGCCCCAAGCATCAGAACGCAGCTGCCAGTGAGCACGCCAGACCTGGTGAGGGCTCGACTCCTGCAGGCCCTCAAGCAGACGGACAGCAGAGGCACAGGTGCGAGGGGGCTACAGGTCAGCAGTGAGACTCAAGTTTGGGACTCAGACTCCTCCAAAGAGGACAGAAACATGGCCCTCACGCCCACCCACTCCACGGCGCTAGTGCCACGACTCACAGCAGCCCTGCTCGTGAACAGCTATGGGAAAACAGTAGCACCTCACACCCATGGGCACTATTTTATAGAAGGAGGAGTTCTAGCCCTAAATCCAGCCCCACCTGGCCCCCTGCCCAGAGCCCTGCCAGGGAGCCATGGCACCATGCACCCTCACCCACCCGCCCCACAGAGGCCCATACCCTGTGTGTCAGCGCAGCATACAGCAGGTAGCCTGCCTGGGTGTGGACAAGTCCCTTGGGCATCCCGGTGCTCCCAGAGGTGTATAGCATGAAGAGCATGTCCTCGCTGCCCATGCTCTCTGGGGTGCAAACAGCGTCCTCCTTGGCCATTTCCTGTAAGGGGGAAGACACAAACAGCCCCATCCAGGGCAGTTATCCCCTCCCCCTCCACTCAGCCTCCCTGAGAAGACCTCTCCCTCAGCGGCTGTAGGACTCAGCAGACCAGATTCAGAGTTCACCTTCTCTGGCCTGCCCTACTTCAATTCCAGATGTGAAAAAGACACAAAATAAAAGGATGGATCTAATCATTTCTGTTACATTAAGTGTTTCAGTACGTTTGTGGTCTTTGAATTCCATCTTCCCAACCAGGATGTAAGCCCATCAAAAACCACAGAGAACCCTGAGCACCTCTGCGGGACCCGGACTGAGAACCAAAATCTCACAAGACTCAGACCCAGTTAACCCAATAATAACCTCTCCTCCCCAAACTGCACAAAGCGAGGTAAACCCACCTGCTCGAGAGGGATGTCCAGGTCGCCCATGTGGACCTTGTTTTCCGTCCTGTGAGCCACCAGGACGTGCTGGACAGTTGGGCAGTACTTCACAGCTTCATCCACTATCTTCTTCAGCTCTACCACTCGTCCTCCCCGGATCCCCTGGTTGAAGGTGATAACCACCTTGCACTTGGCTAACAGAGAGACAAACACGGACATTTCTGGTGAGTTTCCTCCCCACTGTGACCCTCACAGCCCAGACTGACAGCCACACATTCCAGGCCTAAGAGTGTGATGGAGAAAGTCCAATCTTGAGTCAAAGAGTCAACAAAAAAGTGAGGGGTCTGCCTGCTATGCAATCTCTGTGCTCAGTGCACAAGCACCAGGCCTTTTCCCAGCTCTGAGGAAGAGCAGGAAGTGACTGGAGGTATGTTACTTTGAAGCTCAACTCTTTCAGACTTCCACCATTCCCTCCCACCTGCCCTGGGTGCTTTCCCAGGTGAGGTGCCATTACACTGCCCCCAGCCTCAGCCACCATAGTGGCAGAGCAACACCAAGATGTAGAGACCAAGACAACTGGGTAGCCAGAGACCAAGCCCCAACATGTCCTGTGCGGTCCTTGCCCTGTCCAGGGCCAAGAACCTTCACTGCCCAGAGAACAGAGATCACAGCCCCCATGGATGCAGGAGCTGCCAGCCCCCACCCTCATCTTCAGGGGAAGGCCCTCCAGGCTCCAGACCTGCTCTTCAACGACCCAGCTAGGCTCAGCCAGGGCCGGGGCAATGCTGGGAGACCCAAGCTTCCATTGCTAACCGATGGCGAGGCCCAGAGCAGGGAATCAGGTACAGACACAAACTGGGCCTCAGGACCACAGGCAAAGGAATGACCCTCCACACTGTGCCCCAATCTGGGATGACCTGGAGAGATCAAGGCTGCAGTGGGTTATTATACAGCTGGCCCCTAAGGAAGAGCCTGGAACAAATATTCAGTTGTAGTACTGACTGGCAAGGCCCCACACACATCCCTCAGACCTTTAATCACTCTGCACCAAGGGCTTCTTCTGGAGCCACAGGTAGAAGTGCTGGGGGATTACCCCAACCCCAGCAGCCCTCAACTGATGACTCTCAAGAGCTGGGGTGTAAGTATCCCAACTCCCTTGCCCCTTAGGGAGGTCATCCGGATGCATGTGGTCCCATCATCTTGCAGGGTTTCCCTGTGGGACTAAGCTCAAGGCACCCACTGTGGAAGCTGGTCTGGTTTGATTCCTCTTCCCAGCGCCCACAGTGCTTCCCAGCACCACCTCCCAAATGAACTGCCTACAATTGAACTCTCATCTCAGGGTCTGCCTCTGGGGAAGCCCTACTGAGGCACCAGTCTCCCTCCGCTTTTCAGTCTGAAAGTGCTTTCCAGCAACATACACACACTCTTTCTTCCTCCCAAGAGCCCTAGAGATGATGTGGCTTTGAGGGCTACCTGGGAATTCTCTAGCACAGGCCTTTGCAGTTGGATGACCCAGGAGGGTCATCAGGGGTCAGAGAGATACTCCAGACTGCCTGGAACACCAAGGGCAGTGTCATCTAGCTCTGCACACCAGGGGCCCCCAGCTGCACACCCTCTGCTCTTCAGGCCTTGGCAATCCGTCACACTGGGGAAACAAAGTCAGGCAGGCAGAGCCTGTCTGAGACCTTCTGGGCCTACATCCCTGGAGATGGATTTGGTCCAGGAAAGTTCCCTGTGAGAGAGGAAGGGAGATGATCCAGCAGGTAGAAGGGACTCTTTTCAAGGGGATGAAAGACTAAGACAGGTCAGGACCCCCAGGAGAACACAGTGGCCCCAGCCCATCCCGGGTGCTGGAATCCTCGCTGGTCCCCTGTGCCACATGCCTCACTCCTGGCACTCATTTGTCTGAGGCCTCTCCACCTGAGTAGTTCTCAAGTGCAGGAAGCTGTGCACACACCTGGCCCCTGAGAGGTGCTTGGGGCACACGTCTCACCCTGTGGCTCCCCGAGGGTGGCGGCACATACAGGGCAAGTGCACAACATCAGGGCACAGGCAGGAGCAGCCTGACGCTTTGTCTGAGAGATTTGATTTTACCTCCCTGGTTTTTGAGCAGGTATCAGCATCTGTATTAGTTTTCTATTGTTCCCACAGCTAATTACCACACACTTAGTGGCTTAGAACACCCATTTTTTAGCTTGCAGTTCTGTAGTCCAGGTGAGCTCAGTGGGGGTCTTTGCTTAAAGTCTCAAGGCCAAAATCAAGGTGTCAGGGGTCTGGGCTCTCATCTGGAGGCTCTCAGGGAGAATCTGCTGCCAGGCTATTCAGGGTGTTGGCAGAACTCAGTTCCATGTGACTGTAGGACTGACTTGCTGACTGTCAGCCAGGGACCATTCTCAGCCTCTAGAGCCACCTACATCCCCTGGCTCATGATCTCCTGTACCTTCAAAGCCAGCAGTGGCAGGTTAAGTCCTTCTCACTTTGAATCTCTCTGACCTCACCTTCTGCCACATGTCTTCTGCCTCCAGCCATAGAAGTTCTCTACTTTTAAGGGCTTATGTGATTAGATTGGGCGATTTTAAGGTCCATCACATCTGCAAGGCCCTTTTGCCATAAGGTAACATATTCACAGGTGCTGGGGGGTTAGAGCATGGACGTTCATGGGGGCCATTATTCTGTCCCTACAATGCCTCTCAGAGCCATTCTTCTGACCCAACCATCCCCACCATCCCTCTGTCTCTCTCCACTCCTCACACAGCCTCAAGTAAGAGGGAAAATAAAGGGAAGAGAATTGGTCAGAGCCTGGAGGCCAGGCTAGAGTACTGGAACTCTAGAATAGTACATACTAACTGAGGTGGCTGCCCGCTCATGGTGAGCCCCTGGTGGCCATGTTCACACTCCCACCCTCCCAGTGGCAGATTAAAGATAACTGCAAATTCTTTGACCGGGTCTCATCGAGAAATAGGGTCTAGGTCCCCTCTCCTTGAATTTGGAAAGGCCCCTGGCTGGTTTGACCAATGCAGTGTAGTGAAAATGATGCTATGTGTATTCTGTGCCTGGCCTTTAAGACAACTGGCAATTTCCACTTCCTTCCTGTTGGAGCCATGAGCCACCAAGTAACAAGTCCGACTATCTGAGGTTGCCATGCTGTGAGGAAGCCCAAGTTAGCCATGTGGAGAGGCCACGTGAGGAGAAAGAGATGCCTGGCCAGCCCCCAACCATTCAAGCCAACCCAGCTGATATCCCAGACATCATGGAATAGAAAATAGAATAGAAAAAACCATTCCCACTGTGCCCATCTGATTCCTTCCCCACAGAATCATGAAATATAATAAAATTTATTCTTTTATTATTTATATTGTTATATTTTATTATATTTACTTATATATTACATTATATTTATTATTATAAATTTATTATTGTTTTAAGCACTAAGTTTTGGAGTAGTTTGTTACGCAGCAGTAGATAACCAAAACGCACCCTCATTGAGGCAAGAGGAGACAGATCCTGTCCCAACAGTCTTGCCCCCAGGAACCTGACACCTGAATAGCTGGACATGAAGGCTGAAGGGTATTGGGGAAGAACTCTCTTAATGGCAAAGTTCTACAGAAAAGTTACAGGAGTTCCCCTACAGAGGCCTTGAGAGCTGACCTGACCCCTGTGGTCTGATGGCCTGGTTGTTTAGGATTCCTGAGGTTTGTGGTTCTGGGAGCTGCCCCAGCATCCAGCTACTAAATCTCCATATGCTAAATTCCCAGAGTCAACTGCTATTGCTTGTTTCAAAGAATCTTCACAGAAACACTTGGTAACTACAGCCACATCAGCAAGAGAGGAAAGGGGCAGCCTAGTGTAATGCTAAAAGCCATGAACTCTGTGGCAGGATGCCTGCATTCAAATCCTGGCTCTGTCACTAATAATGTGGCATTGGACAAGTCACTTAACATCTCTGTGTCTCAGTTGTCTTTAAAACTGTCTTTAAAAAATGAATATAACCTCCCAATGAAGAAAAGTCCAGGACCAGATGGCTTCACTAGTGAGTTCTACCAAACTTTTAAAGAGAAATTAAGATCAATCCTTTTCAAACTCTTCCCAAAAATTGCAGAGGAGGAAACACTTTCTAATTCATTCTATGAGGCCAGCATTACTCTGATACCAAAGTCAGACAAACACATCAAAAGAAAAGAAAACTACAGATCAATATCCCTTATGAACACTGATGCAAAAATCCCCATCAAAATGCTAACAAACTGTATCCAGCAGCATATTAACAGGATTATACATCATGACCAAGTGGGATTTATTCCTGGAATGCAAGGATGGTTCAACACACAAAAATCAATCAATGTAATACACCACATTAATAAAATGATGGATGAAAACCACATCTCAACTGATGCAGAAAAAGCATTTAACAAAATCCAACACGCTTTCATGATAAAACCACTTAATAAACTAGGAATAGAAGGGAACTTCCGGGGTCAGCCCCGTGGTGTAGCAGTTAAGTGTGTGTGCTCCGCTGCTGGTGGCCCAGGTTCGGATCCCGGGCGTGCACTGACGCACTGTCTGTCAGGCCGTGCTGTGGTGGCATCTCATATAAAGTGGAGGAAGATGGGCATGGATGTTAGCCGAGGGCCAGTCTTCCTCAGTGAAAAAAGGAGGATTCGCATGGATGTTAGCTCAGGGCTGATCTTCCTCATTAAAAAAAAAAAAAAGAAGAAGAAGAGAACTTCCTCTGATAAAAAGCATCTATGAAAACCCACAGATAACATCACACTCAATAGTGAAAGACTGAAAGTTTCCCCACTATGATCAGGAACAAGACAAGGGTGCCCATTTTCACTACTGCTATTCAACATTGTGATGGAAATTCTAACCAGAGGAAAGAAAGAACGAACAAAAGAAAGGACATCCAAATTAGAAAGGAAGAAGTAAAGTTATCTCTGTTCACAGATGACATGATCTTATATGTAGAAAATCCTAAGGAATCCACAGAAACTACTAAAGCTAATTATCAAATTCCACAAATTTGCAGGATACAAGATCAACACACAAAAGTCAGTTGTATTTCTATACACTAGCAATGAACAATCCACAAAAAAAAAATTAAGAAAACAATTCCATTTACAAAAGCTTCAAAAGAATAAAATACTTAGGAACAAATTTTACCAAGGAGGTGCAAGACTTGTACACTGGAAACTACAAAACACTGCTGAAAAAAATTAAAGCAGACATAAATAAATGAAAAGACATTCATGTTCATAGATTGGAAGACTTAATATTGTCAATATGGCAATACTCTCCAAATTGTTTTACAGATTCAACGCAATCCCTATCAAAATCCCAACAGCCTTTTTGCAGAAATGGAAAAGCTGATCCTAAAATTCATACGGAAATCCAAGAGACCCAGAATAGCCAAAACAATCTCACAAAAGGAGAACAAAGATGGAAGACTCAAGCTTCCTGATTTCAAAACTTACTAGAAAGCTAAAGTATCAAAACAGTTTGGTACTGCATAAGAACAGATGTATAGATCAGTATAATAGAATAGAGAATTCAGAAATAAGCCCTTGCCTATATGGTCAAATTATTTTTGACAAGGGTGCCAAGACCATTCAATGGGAGAAAGAACAGTCTTTTCAACAAATGGTGCTGGTACTACTGATATCCACAGGCCAAATAATGAAGGTGGGCCCTTACCTCACACCATATACAAAAATTAACTCATGGATCAAAGACCTAAATGTACCAGCTAAAACTATAAAACTCCTAGAAGAAAACATAGAGGCAAATCTTTATGACGTTGGATTTGACAATGGATTCTTAAAGAATACACCAAAAGCACAAGCAGCAAAAGAAAAAGAAATCAATTAACTGGACTTCATCAACAATTAAAAACTTTTCTGAATCAAAGGACACTATCGGGAGAGTGGAAAGACAACCGACAGAACAGGAGAGGATAATTGCAAATCATATGTCTGATAAAGGTCTAGCAACCAGAATATACAGAGAACTCTTACAACTCAACAACAAAAAGACAAACAACCAATTAAAAATTGGGCAAAGGGCTTAAGTAGACATTTCTCCAAAGAAGACATACAAATGGATAACAAGCACAGGAAAAGATGCTCAATTATATTCCCTCAACAAGCACAGGAAAATGCATATCAAAACCACACTAGGATACCACTTCATACCCACTAGGATGGCTACAGTTTTTAAATTTTTTTTTTGAAGAAAATAACAAGTGTTGATGAGGATTCAGAGAAATTGGAACTCTCATACGTCACTAGTGGGAATGTAAAACAGAGCAGCTCATTTGGAAAACAGTTTTGCAGTTCCTCAGTAAGTTAAACATAGAATTACCATATGTGCCAGCAATTCCACTCCTAGGTATATACCCAACAAATCGAAAGCAGGTGTTCTTGCACACAAACATTCATAGCAGCTCTAGTCACAACAGCCAAAAAGTGGAAACAAGTCAAATGTCCATCAACAGATGAATGGATAAACCAAATGTGGTATATCCATACAGTGAAATATTATTCAGCTATAAAAAGAAAAGAAGTACTGATACATGCTACAACATGGATGAACCTTGAAAGCATTAGGCTTAGTGAAAGAAGCTGAACACAAAAGGCCACATATTGTTTTGAGTTCATTTATATGAAATATCCAGAATAGGTAAATCATAGAGACAGAAAGCAGATTAGTGGTTGCCAGAGGCTGAGTGGAGGGGGAAATGGGGAACACCTGCTTAATGGGTATAAGAAGTCCGTTTGGGGTGATGGAAATGTTCTGGAATAGACCATTGTGATGATGATGGGCGCACAAGATTGTGAATGTACTTAATGCCACTACAGTATACACTTAAAAATGGTTACAATGGTAATAAAAGGGAGAGAGAAATAGTAAGAATACTATCTCATACAGTATTTATGAGGACTAAGTTAGTTAAATGAGATGACTTTTGCAAAGTGCTTAGAACAGTGCCGGACACATAGGACGTGCTACAGAGTTTAGAGAGAGAAAGAGAGAGAAGAAGCAGAAAGAGGGATAGCAGCACCAACACTTGAAAGTGGAGGGAGAAACACTGCAAGGGAGTGGAAAGGTTTCCTAGCCTTGTCTAAAGAGGGTGGTCAGCAGGGGGCTGAGAACTCCACCCTGTAGCTCTGTCCACTACCCAAAGCAAGTCCTACGAGACACAAAGAACTCCCAATGGCCCCCTTGGCACCCTCCTTGGGGAGCCAGGTCAGGAACTCTCTCTAGAATCTCACTGGAGCAGGGTTCAGACTGCACAGACATGGGGCACAACCCCAACATTGGGCCCTCTGACACCAGAAAAAGGAAGTATATTGTTCTGCACACTGTCCGGGAGACTCTGACCCACCTATGGAGAGAAAGTCTTCAAGATACCTCACAGGCCCCCAACCCTGACTCCAGGCCTCCGGAGATGGTCCCCATCACTCTTCACGAGGGAAAGCTTCCAGCTATTGACCCATGGGACTTTCCCTGTACCTCCCTAGGCTCATCTCACCCTACATGTTTCTTCCCTCCTCCACTGCAGCCATGCCAGCCTCCTGCAGGCCCTCACACACACTGTGCTCTTCCCACCACTCAGACAGCATCTAGGCTGTTCCCTCCACCTGGAATCTTCCCTCCCTTCTTCACCTGGTTAAATCCAACACACACATACTCAGATTTCAGCTCACAAAACATATGCTCATTCAGCCATTTGCCTGTCCCTGGTAGTGTCTGTCATTTGTCTGTGTGACTTTCTTTAATGTCTGTCTCCACTCTAAGTCCCTGATGGCCAGGCCCCAAGGGACATGGAGCAGGGGATTCCGGGTTCCTCCCTCCCTCCCCCTGCCCTCAAGCTCACCATCATTGATTCTCCCAGCCAAGGACTCCGCACTGAAGCCAGCAAAGACAACTGTGTGGACGGCTCCGATCCTGGCACAGGCCAGCATTGCAGCCACAGCTAGTGGGGACACAGGCATATAAATGGCCACACGGTCCCCTCGACAGACTCCATGCCTCTTCAGCGTGTTGGCCAGGCGGCATGTGGTCTCCAGCAGTTCCCTGCCGCACAGAGAAGAGAAGGCTATCAGAGACCGGGGAGAGCCAAAACGCAGACTAATTGGGGGTGGAATAATTCTGCAAACTGCAAGTACTGTGCACCTAGCCAGTGCCTGGAGGACAGCAGGCACTCAAATACTTATTGCATGGAAAGTTCTTATCCAGTAAACAGTGTTTTTAACTTTGTAGATTGGTATTGACAGAGATTCACTGCCACACTGCCGAGGTAAAATGGCTGTCCATGCATCCATCTAGAGCAGGACTTCTCAGAGACCAGTGTCCACAGCCTAGATGGTCATATCCCTGAGACTTCTGAAAACATTCGCCTCCGAAAGAAGGATCTCATAAGTAAGACATTTAGCGAGGTAGTAAGGCCCCAATTTTCTGAATCAGCACTGGCAGTGGCACCAAGCCAGGCTCCTGCCAGGCCGGGACCAGGACTCAGGCAACAGACCCAACGCTGCGAAGCCACAGTGGATCGCGAGGGGAGGTGGTGCAGGACAGCCACCCTCCCTGCAGCGCTAGGGCAGGGCTGGCGGTAGTGAGAGCACCCCACTTCTCTCTGTGCTGGACGCTGAAGCGGCAGGTGGGATGGAGATGGACAGGACACTAGCACGGCCACCAGGCACGCACCGACCCACTACTCCCGCATCCACGCGACCCTTCCCGCTCTCCCTGGAGTCGCGAGGTTTGCCCGCCAATCAGAGCCCCACATCTCCCTGAACAAGCTGATTGGCTTAGAGGTTGGCACGCGACCAAATACTGCCCAACCGGAGCCAACAACAGTCCTCTCCGGAAAACCTGAAGTCCGCGGGAGCTGGCCCTGGTCTGGATGGGCCGGAAGTGGAGAAAAGCAGCCCAAGAGCGGCTGGGCGCTGGTTCAGCGTTGTTCTAGCACCTGATCCTGCCGAACGTGGACTTTGCAGATAACTCTCTTCCCATTTTTGCTGTACATGGTTTGATTTTAATTTATTATTTAATAAAAAGAACAAAGAAGGACAGAATAAGGCGAAACCTCCCTCTGGTTGGCGCAGGCCGCACCCTGCCCTCTGCATGCTCGTCTGCGGGCCGGAGATCAGACTCCTTCGAGCTCCGTAGGGCGCTTACGAGCGTGTTTGCATGGTTTCCCTGTGTGCAAAGGGTCGTCAAGGAAAGGGCTCCGGAGAAAAGCAGAGCTCAACAAGAGGCCGCCCGGGAAACCGCAACGGAATGAAAATGAACGGTCCCCATCGCAGGCAGGGATCTCAACGGGGCCTTTGTTACTTCCCAAAGCCATCGTGCAAGGAGACCAGATGAGAACCAGATCACAAGTCCAGCCTGCTCTTCGCTGGCCACTGGCGACTCCTGCCCAGGCTGGCTCCAGCGCGCCTCTTCTGCAGAATTTCATCTTTTCTCTGTAAAGCTTTAAGAAGAAGGACAAAGGCGCCATTCAGTGGTACCCCACCCACCCCTCGGCTAAGTTTATGATGAAAGAAAGAGCACCCCCCTCGACAGCCCTCAACACCAAACTCCACAGAATCCAGGGCCCAGAGACACTCCTACTACTCCAGAGGAGGTGGCTGGGATGGCCTCTGAAGAGGCAGCTACGGTCAGTAATGCGGAAGAGTAACTCGGGTCCAGCGCAGGCGTCATTTTCATAGTTCTAAGGACTTAACGCCTCAGGGCAGTGCTCTAGGAGATAGAGGCTTGAGTGTGTGTCACACATCAATGGTGATGAAATTCAGTCCTTATTCTGCGGACCAAAGGCAGCAGTTTAAAGTCAAAACAAATGTGAACTGTCCAGAGAGGCCTGGGTTAGCTTTCTGCAGTAGCTGCATAGGCATGGAAGCTTACCTTTCTCAGCTGCCACGTGATCACCAGAGAAATAGCAGGCGCCATCCACCTTGTGTCATAAGTATTAACGAGAAGCGTCACCCACCCAGGACCCTGCCAAACATTCAGTAGGTATTATCTTTCCCATCAGATGTCTTTATTTGAAATCATTTTCTAAAATGACTAAAACCAGCTAACTCACTTTGGTGAATTCCTAAGATGTTAAACATTCTGTTTTAGGCACCATGGGGGTGAATGGGGCATTAGACAAAGAAAATGAGAGGGAGTATCCTCCAGGAGCACAGGTCTGACTGCGGAAATGAAGGCACATGCATGAGAGTGTGAAGGGCATTATCACCTCAGCTTCAGTGGTACAACTGTTGAGGGCAGCAGGGAGAGCATTCTGGAAAGGTTGACTGCAGGGAAGAGGAACAAGCCAGCAAATGAGAAAGGAATGAGTTAATTGTACCTACAGAGTCAGAAGTCACCCAGCTGTCAGAGCTGGGCAGTTGACCTATAGCCCTGGGGGAGTGTCTGGAGACCAAGCCAAGGTAGCCCATATATTGTTCCCTGGAGGACTGAGGGGCCTCGACATGTACACCCCAGGTGGAACTAGGTCAGGTGGGTCCCACACTCTTGCTGCCTCATCCAGAGAAATTTCTGATAAAGAATTTGATCCAGGTAAATCTCTGAGCTCACTCCCCTTCCTATCCGCTCTGCCAAGGCCATAGACCTCAAGGTCGACGGGATCCTTGAAGGTCAGACACTGCAGCCTCCCTGGCTGCCACAATCTTAATCACAGCAGTCCAGCCTCTGCTTAAACATCACACTGCTGGAAGTTACCACCTCACAGGGCTGCTTCTATCTTTGTCACTTTAGAAGAGAAACAGTCTTCCTAAAATTGGACCAAGATTTGTAGCTGTTTAAATTCCACCCCTTGGTCCTACCTCCGCCCTTTAAAGCTGCCCAAAATAAATCTAATTTGTCATTCGATGACAGCTCTTCAAATTCCTCAATACTCCGCCCCCCCCACTGCCCCGTAAGCCCTTTCCACTCCCAGGTTCTCTTGTCCAGCCCTCCAGGACCCCACTCACATTCTCTAGACACCTCCAGGTTACCAAATGACCCCCACATTCCCATGGTGTCTGCCCAGAGCAGAATATGGGTACACCCAGACCCTTGACTTTAACTCTATATTTAACCCTGTAAATTAAGAGCACATTGATTTTTTAATACCTGATACACGTGGCTCAAATTCAACATGAGGTCACCAACTGCACACACACACACACACACCCCCCCCCCAGTACACAGAACAGCTGCTCTTTAACCAGGGCTTTCCCATATTATGGTTAGGGAATTTTTTTTTTTTTAAAGCAGACTTTCCATTTGTCCCTATTTAAGTCTATCTCAGTTTCTCCTCATCTTTCCAGCTAACCCATTATTTCTTAAGCTTAGATTATTCATTTTAAACTTTTGCTTTTCATTAGCAATCACCTCCAGACTTCTACCAATGGAAAAAATGGTCAGCAAACCTAAGTCTTCAAATCACTGAAAAATAAATGTTATTCAAGTGATCCTCTTATTCCAAGTACTCAAAAAGTGTTCAAAAGCATGTTCTTGGATATTCATGACTTCTCAAAGACTTCCACAAACCGAAATGCTACTGTTTCTGTGTCAAAAAGATAATGCAGCCATTTGGTGACTGGTGCTTTGGGCTGTCGCTGCAGGAAACACTGGCTTCCTCCTTGCCTGTGGGATCTTTCCAAGGGACAGTGACATGTAGCTTTCTGAGAAATAACCTCACTAAAATGAGTTAGAGTTACATTTTCAAGTGCAAAGAGAAATATAACATCTGTTATTCAGGTACTGAGCAAACACCTAAGTTTGTCTGCAGTGTAGACTCCTCAGGACCCAACCCTTCAGTGTAGACATATGCAAATAACGTACACAAATACATAAATTTGGCCTTGTGTTCATGGTGCTTAACACCACTAAAATGCTAACTGGCCTTGGAGGAAGGAAGGAGACCTTCTATAGCCAACTCTTAGACATCAACTGGGAATAACGTTTATCCAATGCTCAAGACAGATCTGACCACAAGTATTTGTAACCAACATGACACCTGCCCAAACTCAGACAGTATAAAGACCCCCTGATCGAGCTCAGTCCAACACAGGACACAGCTGGAAACAGAGTTCAGAAGAAAAAACAGGAAGAAATACACTCATATTTGTTTATTTATCTATCTTCCAATCAAGGCTGTTTTTTCATGGTTTCTATTTGAAAGTATCTTTCCCTCCTAGCTATTTCTCAATGACAGCCCAGGGAAATAAGATAAACCATGTGTGTGTGTTGTTGTATTTAAGACATAAACAAATTGGGAAAGCATGATTTGCTCACTTCCTACAATTACTCTAGCTCTTAGTGTTCATTAAATAAACACTAGCTGACAGACTGACCTTCTTCACTGTCCGTCTGCCCCACTGAGCACAAGCTCTCCTCGGGCAGGGATTGGGGGGTTTACTGCTTTCTTCCCAGCGCCTGGAGCTGAGCCCAGCTCGGAGAAGGTGCTCCATAAATATCTGTTGAATGAATGGGAACAGTAGGGAGTGAAACAAGAAGAGCCCTGGCAGGCGCAGGGTGTCCACTCTGCAGATGCCTTCCATCTTCCTCGAGAGAGGGCGAGGCTGCCATCACCTCAGCGTCACAGTGGCAGGAAAATGTCCTGCCCTTTGAGAGGCAAATGCGAAGGACCATCCCCACTGATACCAACCCCTAGCTACTTTTCTCTTCAGTTTCTTCTGCCAATTAGGGAAGTAGAGCCAGGTAATCGTGTTGATGTGCGAATGTTAAGGCCCATGACAGACACAAAGATTTCAGAGTCACTGCCCTCCTCCAGGCCCGGGTGCTGCCAGGGGAGTGTCTGCTCCATGGTCCAGATGCAGAACATGAAAGGACACCCATCTGTCCAGGGTACACTGTCTCTAGAACTTGATATTCTCTTCTGCAAGCCATTCTGGGAGACAGAGGTAGTGAGAGAAGAAAGGATCAGCTTTAGGAAAGTGGAACATAACAAGAGGGACCCCTTCTTGCACAGGGAGAGTGTGGAGGGCCGGGCAGGGCACGTGGATGGCTCATGAATCATGTCTCAAAACCAGGCCTAGGGATGAACTCCTTCTCTCCAGGCA